TCGAATTGGCCTTTTCAGCCACACAAGACACTGTTCCAAGACCTCCAAACAGAGCACATTACCATAGTCTCTCAAGACTGAAGGATGCCTACTGGTACCCTGCAGCAGAGTCTAGCTGCAGCATGCCGTACACCTCCTGCAAAAGTCTAACTGCTGTATTTTAATGTAAACTTTCATGGTTAAAGCTCTGGGAAAAGTCCCCATCTTCAGGATTTGATCCCCAAAAGCTCACCTTAAAATATAGCAAGTAGTCTTTAAGGTGCCACCCTCCCTCTCTCCCTCCCTCCCTCTCCTTGCATGGCTCATCATCCTCATCATCATTATCATCATCCTGCCCGTCGCCCCGCCTCCCTCCCTCCCTCCCTTTCCTTGCATGGCTCATCATCCTCCTCATCACTGTCATCATCCTGCCCTCCCTCTCTCCCCTGCCCGGCTCGCCTGCCCGCTCGCCCCAAACTGCAGCTGTTCCGAAGCTCCCGGGCGCTTCCTCCCAAACCCGCCTGGGAATGCTGGGTGTTGTAGTTTCCTACATCTTGACTCTTTCTCTTCTTCCCCCCTTTCCACTCTATAGAAAGGAACGTTTCGGGGTTTTTTTTGGCAAGCCTTTTTGCAGGCTGCGCCTCTTTCCATCTCAGCCTGAGACTGAGACTTGATTCATGCCTAAAAACTCCCCACCAGAACTTGGTGCACAGCCTGAAGAAGTGGGATGCTCTTTGAAAGCTTGCGGGTGGCGGTTTGTTTCTTTTTCCTATGTTTTTTCCCTCTTGCCAGGGCACCAATTAGGCGGTTTGTTTCTTTTTCCTATGTTTTTTTTCCCTCTTGCCAGGGCACCAATTTAGGAGGGAAAATCTAGTGTGTGTGTGTTTCCTGCAGATAAATCTGTTTGTGTGTATGTATGTATGTGTGTGTTTCCTGCGGATAAATCAGAGCCTGTAAATAGGGGTTTCGAGGGAAGCCCCAATGCCCCTGGGGTGGAGGAAGATATGTTTGTAAAACAGGCGGCTGTCAATGGGCTCCATCTCCTCCTGCCTTTAAAAGCAGCACCGTCTGCAGAAATCCGGCTGAATTCAATTTTAACCCTTTCAGAGAGAAGCCCGGAGGTAGCTGGAGAAAAACATGCCTCCTAATCGTCCCTGTGATTTTGAAAGGCCCTGCGGAGAGCCGAGGATCAAGGACACTTTTGCATCAATAACCCGTGGGAGCAAACGCCTTAACTGTAAAATATATATATGAGAATCCTGCTCTCCCAAGTAGCACAGGGGGCCGAGGAAAGGGAGGGCTGTACGGAAGCGAAGCGGTCTGTCTCTGGGTGATAAGCAAGTGTGGAGGAACAGAGGCCAGTCCTGGACCGAAGCTGCCAAATGTCTATGGCAACAACTTGCTGGGATAGGAAAGATTTGCTCTGGAGGTTCTGCCTGCCACTTTGTGCAATCCTAAGAATCAGAGAACAGCAGAGCTGGGGGAGGGTGGATTCGAACTCCAAACCTCTCCCTCAACCACTCGACTCTTTTGTTGTTGTTGTTCTCAGTGACTCAGCCTCGACTCACAACTCGGAGCCCAGCCCTCCCTCCCTTTTCTCTTATTTTTTCATAGGGACATTGATTTTGGGGGCTTGGGGCTCAGGACTTGGGACCAAAGATTTGAACTCAGGATTTGGGGCTTGAACCCAAAGACCTGCCGGCCAGCCTGCGGTCCAGCAGTCCAGATGCATGGTGTGCGAGAGAGAGAGAAAATGGATATAGACAAGCATAGGGATAGGGCAAGGATGCATTCCGCTCCAGTAAAATTTTTGATTGAAAATAGACCAGCATGCACAGGTTTCTTCATTTTTGAGTTTGGAAAGAGCTTTTGAAATCGTTTTAGAGAAGGCCTGTGGTTATTGACAGGTTGAACGCAATAAGGCTTTTAAAAGGCTACAGCTATAATCTCTCAGCATCCCAAGATGTGTAACTTCTGTCCTTAGTTCCTCATTCAAAAGGCTTTTCATTCTCTCCTCTTGATAAAGAGATCTGTGTCAAAAGATCGTTAAGCTGTCTAGGGAGTGTTTCTAAAGGAAGTCTAGTCTTCTTGGTCTTGCTTATGCAGTTTATTTTCTGATGGCCCCAGATTTGAGAATTTACTGCTCTGGAGCATCAGAAGAGTCTATCGGCAAACAGCTAAGGAAAGGGAATTCAGATATAAGATCCAGCGGGATTCAATGGTTAGGAGTGATGCACTGGAACTCGGAAGATCTGAGTTCAAGCCCCCACTCAGCTATAAAACTCCCAAGGGTGGCTTTGAGACTGTGGTATGTGCCTACTTGTCTTGCTCGGCCCAACCTAACTGTGGTGGTCGCAATAAACTTGAAAGGGCAGCATAACCAACTCACCCTGCAAAAAATCCAAGCCACTGAACTGGTCCATATTTATGAAAGAAAAGCAGGTCTTTTGTGAAGCTAATGATTCTTAACTGTCCACTTAGGACCAAGCCACCTTCAAATACTTTGCATAACAACAAGGAAGCATTCAACACTACATTATTCCTTGGAAAATCCATTTATCTCCCAGGGGCTTTGTGGATGACAGCTACATTCACAGGGACCAGGGAGGACTGAAGGGAGATGGCCGGTGAAGTCATAATCCCAGGGCTTTGATGGTCAGCCATGAAACCACAATGTCATTGTCTGCCTCTCAGAGTTGTCGTGAAGACGAGGTAGGACGGGCAAGGGCCGTGTCTTTGACCTTCAGTGTGTTGAAGAGTTTTGAATTTCTGGGGAAAAAAATTCTTTTTGATATGCAGCCAGTTGAAGAGTTTTGAATTTCTGGAAAAAAAATTCTTTTTGATATGCAGCCGAAGTGTGGCGATCCACCGAGGAGAATAGCTGCAATTCCCCAGAGAGTCCACCCCTTTCTCATTAACTGGCACTTGAAGCCTCAACAACTCACTCTGAGACACTTGTAGGAGAAAGAGTAAAAAACATTTCTTTACTGCCATTGCTTGAAAGTACAGACTCGTGTGTACTGCTTTCTTTACTGCATTCATGTTGACAGCTAGCTGAACAAACAGATCAACAGCGCGCAAACAACTGCCACCAGCTGAAGAAAGAGGGGTGGGGTGTAAAAGAGCACTCAGGGATCTCTTTGAAATCAAAGGCTGGATGGAATGATTAGTTAGTGCTGGATAGATAATCACCAGAAATCTCTCCCAGTCCCCTCAAACACAGGCAGCACGCAAGGAGAGACTTGGTCTAAATGTTGCCAAAGAAATAAACACATCAATGAGACAAACACTGGGACTGGCAAGCTTTAGGTTTGCTTCAACTTCATCTTAGAACTGCAGAGCTCGAAGGGACCCTGTGGGTCATCCAGTCCAGCCCCCATCAAGAAGGCCCCATGCGGATTCGAACTCTCAACCTCTGGCTCTGCCGTCAGATGCCTAAACCACTGAGCTCTCTGGCTTTGCTTCGGCCAACATAAGGTTCATTCTGCGGCTTCGTTGCTAAACATTTTGCAATAGGTTGGCTCGGATTCTGTACTACTAACATTTAACAAGAGCAAGAATGTTCTCCCAACTTTGCCAGCTGAATGAGGAACACTTGGGATATTGAAATGGGGATTTCTGTGTTGAGCGCCCCTTCGCTTTCGGATACCCTAAAAAAGCATTCCTGGACCCCCCCGAGTGCTTTCAGGATCACGTGCATCTTTTGCACCAAGCTCCTGTTGGCGGATCTTAAGAGGGGAAGGGAACAAACCCGGCAGCCCCAAAAAGCCCACGGAGTCTGTCCCTGTTTGTGTCTCCCGAGGTTCAGTTCCCGAAAGAAAGAGGACCTGCCAGAAGGGAAACGGAGACCACTGGCCTTTGAGGGAAAGTATGCCTCTTTTGCAGAAGAGTGCCGCGCGCTGCGAGTTCTCCAGGGTGCTAAAATAGACTCTGGCACAGGATCGGATTGCAGGACCGAAATAACCACGCAGCAGCAGCAGCAGCAACAACAGCCGACACCCACCCACCCCCAGCCTGTGGAGAAACCTGAACTGGAAGGCACCGCAGCGAGTGAGCGCCGGTCATGAGCCCGCTCTGGGTCGGAGCAAGAGAGAGAGGCAACGGGGTGCCCATTGCGGTCCGCAGTCGTGTGTGTGTGTGTCTGTGATTTTGGCCGGGGGCGGTTCCAGAGAAGGAGCCTCAGCCTGCAAGCCGAAAAAGGGCGCAGGCCTTGAGGCTCAGCCAGCATCACATCTGGACTGCTACGACAGACCTGATCCGGGACGGCCCTTGAAGGCCATGGGGGAGGTTCAAGAGAAGGGGCCCTGGATTTGTAGCAGACCATACATCATCATCATCATGGGCCGCCTTTCTTCCAATAAGACACCCAAGGCGGCTCCAATATTTTTTAAAAAATAGAATTAAAAACATAAATAGTCCAACATTTTAAAAAAACACAATTAAATGATACGCTAGTTACAATACAACTGAATAAATCATTAAATGCAGGTTGCTGATGATCCCTGCAAGTTGCGTGGAATGGCATTATTTGTAACAAGGCTTGTTCCTTCCATGTCCATCATTCTGTCTGAAAGGTGGTGGATCAGGGCCTTTCCAGACGTGGGTCTCTTGAATCTCTGCAAGGGTCCTGCGTGCCAACATTGGGTCCACGGGTCAGCCCCGTCAAAAGCCCCTTACATTATTTGTAACAAGGCTTGTTCCTTCCACGTCCATCATTCAGTCTGAAAGGCGGTGGATCAGGGCCTTTCCAGAAGTGTTGGTCTCTTGAGTCTCTGCAAGGGTCCCGCGTGCCAACATTGGGTCCATGGGTCAGCCCCGTCGGAAGCCCCTTCGCTGCTTTCACCTCAGCATAGAGCGGGTCTTTTTAAAAGCTATTGGATCTTAATTTTTCATTGAAGGCCAAGCTGTGGAACACAATTTGAAACATATCTGAAAGCTTTGATGACGAGTCATGTGCCGCGCATGTGTACATGTTGTATTTTCACTTTTTACTTTTCTTTGCATCTTGAATTTCTTCTTCTGGCTTCCAGGGCCAAACATGTCTTCCCTTTTCCAGGGCACATCAACCTTTACCGCTTTAAAGAAACATCTGCTTCTCCCACTATTTCACTCTTTAAAAAAAAAATCAATATTTTGGCCCAAGAATGGACTGAAGGGCAGTGATATTACTTAGCAACAAATGCATGCTTTTCCCAAGGTGTTTTTTGAGCCATGCGGTTACTTGGGAACGATCTCCCACAAGATTTTGTGGTTTACTCTGCTGGATCTCTGTCTGTCTGTCTGTCTCTCAAAATAATAACAAAACAGAACCAGAACTGCAGAATACAGAAGAGTTACTTGATGCAATTCCAGCCACTGCTCAGTGCTGTGAATGCTTAGATTTAGGATTGATGCAGGCCGACTCAAGAAGGGACAGCCGGGCTGCGATCCAGCCAAAAACCCGTGCAACTTTTGCTGATTTTTCCCCCCCCGAAGGAATGAATCGTTCCAGTCTTTTGCTGCACTTAGCTGGAACACTTTGGAAAACAGAAGAGGGAGGCTGGAGGGAACTCCATTTCCCGTGCTCCTCCGAGGCCCCCGGGGACGAAGGGATGGGGGAGATTTAAATAGAAGCAACCGAACCTGTCGTTCGGCTGGCCAGGCTGCCCTCCTCCGATGCCTGCCCATTGGCTCTCGGAGGCCTCTCTCTGGTGCCAAACAGGATCCACCGCCTGTCACTGATGCGCGCCACATCCTCCTCCTTCTCCAAGCCTCTGTGAGGCTGCAGAGCAAACAGCCATGTGCACCCAGCCTTTTTTGCTCTGCATCTAACAGCTGCTCCTGCCTCTCTGGCGGCTCATGCTTTTTGCAGGAGGCAGGGTGAGGCCTCTCTGGGGTTTGTTTGTTTGTTTTGGGGGGGAGGTAGGAGGCCAAAAGAGCATCCCTAAGATGATCAGGCCTGTTTTCGGGGGGCTTTTTTGAAGAAGCAGGTTTCTAGGAAGGATGCCAGCCTCACAAAGCCGGGCCCGGGCCCGAGACAGGAACAACATCTTGAACAGAGCCGAATTCCAGTCGCTCAACCATCCCTTGAAAGGCACCCAAGAGTCCCGGCGGAGGCAGAACAGCCAGTCCGGCCCGTCCCCGTCCCCCAACGAAGGGGGTGCCAAGGAGCAGAGGGCCCCACAGCAGCCACTCCCCGATGAAGACTGCATGCAGCTGAACCCCTCCTTCAAAGGGATCGCTTACAACTCCCTCCTGGCCATCGACATCTCCCTCTCCAAAAGGCTCGGGGTGTGTGCCAGCAACGCCTCGGCCTGGGGGAATGCCCGCTCCATGATCAACCTCATCGGCCTCACCGGGCACGGGATCCCCTGGATTGGGGGCACCCTGATCTGCCTGGTGAAGAGCAGCACCTTAGCCGGCCAGGAGGTCCTCCTCAACCTTCTCCTGGGTGAGTTTCCCCTCTGCCTCTTGTCTTGCCCCCCCCATGAGCCGCATCAAGGGTGGCCTGTCCATTTGCCCCCCATATTGCATTCAGCTACGGTCTGTGTCCCTGCTGTGTCCCCCCTCCCCTCCCATTGAAATATTCCGATCTCAGCAGCTTTTAAATCCTCACCATTCATTCATCCATCATGTAGCCCTTATTGCTCTCTCTCCTCTTTTTGCACATGGTTTGGTCAACTTCCTCCCATCCCTAATTTCTTCTTGCTGCTCACAATCTTGCAAAGAATTTAGACATTTTTCCCCATTCCCGAATTTCCGAGAGGGATGCTTTTAACTCTTGTTGTGGCTCTGTTAATCCCAAGTGTTTCCAGTTCATAATGCTTTTGTGTGAATCGTTTCAGTATTCATTTCGTCCCTTGATTGTGTGTGTTTGTGTGTGTGTTGCTTTTATATTTTTTTTTGTTAATTGAAATTTTAACCAAGTTGGGCGTCTTTTTTAACGCTGAGGGTTGTTGGATGCAGGGTCCCCATCTCACGGCCTACGTGGCATCCCATAATAGGTAGGAGGGTATTTGTAGAGGCCCACTGAGCCATCCAGCAATTCCGTGCTTCCAGCAAAAAATAGAATTCAAAAGAGCTTAGATATGTTGTTGTTTATTTTCTGGGTTAGAATTAGGGTTTTCTCTCCACCCTCTGATTTGGGATCTGCAGTTTGGTGTAGTGGATAGAGTGATGGACTAATATTCTGGAGACCAGGGTTCGAATCTCTGCTCAGCCATGGAAAATTCACTGGGAGAAATGGAAGTAATAAAACCGCTCCTTAAATATCTCACTTACCTTGAAAGTTGCATTAGGGTCGCTATACGTTGGTTCCGACTTAAGTACTGGGAAATCCATCAGTTTAACTCTCTCCTGCTGTGAGTTTCAAGTTTTAATATCCAGAGCTGAAGAAATTTGTGAATGTTGGCAAATTCTGTTAAAAGGGGGACAGAAACTAATATATCCTTGTCTGTGCCAGCCAAATTCAAAAGATTTGGCTTTTTCCGTCATGGAGAGGTCTGTGTTGTACTTGATGGCCATATATATGCTCAATCAAAGTCGCCACCTTTTTTCTCCTATAAGGCTCCTCCTCTTTTAACACATATATATGTTAAAAGAGGAGGAGCCTTATAGGAGGAAAAGATGGCGACTTTGATTGAGCAGGAGAAAAAGGTGGCGACTTTGATTGAGCAGTAGCATGGTTCCGGAGTCAGGGATCCAAAGCCAGGCTTTTAAAAGCAAAACACATAAAACCCATGGGTCTGGATAGGCGTACTGGTCAATTCCCATCTTCTAGCATTTTTTCTCTCTCATAATAACAGACTTGTTCAACTCTTTTCAAAAGCAGGTCAAATCAAAATTCCCCTCTGCTTTTAGCCAAGAGTAAACTAGAAGATGTAACATTAGGTTCGCTCTTTAAATTCATCCAGATCTTTAATTCTGCGAACTGCAACTCGAAACCCAATCAATTATGCCAAGCTATTTTTCTGATATTGCCAAGTCCCGCGTGCCGTCCCCTCTAATTTTGCTTTCTCGGTCCTCCTGATGGCATGTTCTCCATCTTCCTAGTTCCAGCCTAGGGACAATTAAAGTTCCAAATTCAACCCCAGACCGAATTCTTGTGGCCGGGTATCAGCAGATCTCAAATAGACGGCCGATTTTAACCCCACCACAATCCTGCGAGATAGGGTAGGCCTTAATTTTTTTTTTTTTGGCTCTCAAATAGACGGCCGATTTTAACCCCACCGCAATCCTGTGAGATAGGGTAGGCCTTAAACCTTTTTGGCTAGGTGGGAATTTGAACCCAGTTCTCATTAGTCCCCAGTCCAGCTCTTTAAATATCACACACACAGCGTTGTGTCTCTCTGGTCCTTTTTCTCTGGGACTGCCCCAAAATATTTCGGCAGGTGAGGCGGAAGAATGCCTGTTTTGTACTTAAAATAGCAGAAGGGAATGAGTAAAAATATCGACTCCAACCAACTCAAGAAATCCCGGTACTTGGAAAAATTAATGAGTGTCGTTTGAAGAATTAGCCAGTGCGTTTTGAACGGTTTGTCTCTACTGCATCCGATCAATACCCGTGGCATGCCGATGTAGCAAATAATTCTCGGTGTGTTGAGTCTTACACAGTCAAAACAAATAAACTAGATATTGTTTGGGGGAAGAAGTAATATAGCGAGTAGTTACAAAGTTACAGCAGAAGTCAACTAACAAGCCATCACAGAGTTGCCTTTTACATTTCATAATTGCTTCCAGAAAATACTTTTTAAAAGGTCCCACCGTTATCAGCCCTCCTCAACTCTTGCAAACACCATCCCATGGCTTCCTTTACTGACTCGATCCATCTCACCTTCTGTCTTCCTCTTTTCCTCCTGCCTTCTACTCCGACTCTTATGATATGCCCGAAGTGTGACAGCCTCAGTTTGAACGGTTCTAGCTTCTGGGAATGAGTTCAGGCTTGATCCGGCCTGGCAACGATTTTGTGGATATTATGGACTGCCAGATACACAAAGTTTATGTTCTGCATGGATTGATCTTCCCCCACCATGACCCCCGGATTTCTGGCTCGCCCTATTCCTTGGCTAGATTCTAAGCCCCTTTCCTTGGATTTCCCTCCTGCCGTTTTTTTATGATCAGTTCCTTCCTCCTTCTGATAAACCCCTTGCCTATGTCGCCTTTGGGATCCTGGAAGAAGCCATCCCGGGGTTCCACCCCAGATCTCAGGTTTTGGCCCCGAACCTCAGAAAAAAGGAGATGCTGATGATGATGATCAGGGAACCCTACCTAGAGATCCTGACCTAGCTGTGTAATAAGGTCAGCTCAAAACAAGGAGTTTCCCAATTCAGGCAGGAGTTGGGGAGAGATTTTGTTGGATCCATTTTCCGGATCCCTTCATCATGTCTACATTGGGGATCCAAAGCTGAGGACAAAAATTCAGGCAGGAGTTGGGGAGAGATTTTGCTGGATCCAATTTCCGGAGCCCTTCATCATGTCTACGTTGGGGATCCAAAGCAGGGAATTCTAGGACAACAAAGAAGCTGAAAAGCAACACGTTTTATTTGGCATTCAAATAATAATTATAATAGGTAGAAAAGAGTGATCAGGTTGTGCTGTGGTTAATTTTGGGGCAGGAAGGACCGGGCTCATCCCTGTAGCTCTCTCCCCACAGAAGAGCTAAAAAATCCAGGCCGTTGATCGGTCCATGTCAACAACTGGGGGGAGAAGATCTTTTGTAAGGTTAAGGGCTCTTCCTTGCTTGTTCACAACCCACTATCCTAGATGGTGCTGTTAGCTATGTTCCCTATTTTCCTGGAGTTGCCCCTTAAATGTATAAACAATGCAGGGGGGGGGAGCTCATACCGACGTGCTTGTGTAAAGAGGATCGGTTTATGCTGATGGACAAGTTCCTGGGAGTCGTAAAAGAGTAAGAGGACGTGATAGGCGATACCTCTATAGACCGCCAATGAGACAATTAAAATATTGTATATAACGCACGTTTTCATGGGTAAATCTCACTTCTTCGAGGCAGTCTCGAAAAGGTCACGGCGAGATGGATTTTGCCAGGGGACGTTCCTTAGAGGTAACGTCCAAAAGTTTCCCCAGGCAGTCTTTCTTTGCTGCAAAGCAGGGAAAGGTAGGGTGGTTTGAAGTTACAGCTCAGGCTGATCGGATTCCACACCCCAGTTCTTCAAACCAAAGGACAGTTTTGGGGGAAAGTAACTTTCCCAAATCCTGGCCGATGTTTCCTTCTGAACCTATCCTGTGTCTCCAGCTTTGTATCGCTCAAAACCCTTCTCTTCTCTTGCATTGCATTCGGGGAAGCAGCTGCTGTTCCGGACCTTCTGCCCTCCCTTGTTGTTGTTGTTGTTGTGTGATACAACACACGACAAAAAGGACCCGCCTTGCAACCCGAGACTCAAGGTGTCTTGTGTGGCCGGCCGGCCACCTTTCACTGCAGCATCTTTTACTCCTCCCTTGACCTGGTGCGAACTCACACTGCAGGGGGAGGATGTTTTTTGGCTGTGATGACAGCTTTCAGGGATAATCTTTGGAGCCCCGTCTGCGTGCAGCAAAAGCCGAAGGGGATGCCAGGATGAGCGGGAAAGAGGCGGTGAAACCCTGAAAAATAAAACGGGGGGGTGAATGATGCTTGCGAAAGATCGACCACCAAGGACGACCAAAACAGAGAAGCTTGGACTTCACACAGAGATAAGCCAAACCCCGTGGGCTTCGTTGTGAATGCGAACACATTTGGGACCGCCTCTGTCTGATTCTGATCCTCCAGTCAAGGTCATTTCAGGCTTCGTGTATCTCCAGAAGACAAAAGAAAGCATCCGCAATCAGATGCCTGCATTTTATGAGAACCGCTTTTAAAATGAAGACACCATCTTCTCTTTCGGCGTAATCGTCCTCCCTTAAGAATTAGAAGGGACCCGGTGGGGGTCGTCCAGGCCAGCCCCTGTCCAGGAGGCCCCGTGGGGAGGGGGGGAATCGAACTCCCAACCCTCTGGACCTAAACCCCTGAGCTATTCGATACACTCAAAGAAAGCGAGGCCAGTTGGACATTGTATCCTCGGGACCGATAGTCGAGCACACGGGGGTGTGTGTTAGGAGAAGCCCATACAGGTCCAAAGGATACCCTTGAGAGAATCCAGCCGAACGTGGCAGCTTGTGAGCCTGTTGAATATTCCTGCTGGCAAAACACAGTGGGACTGTGGTTATCCGTGACTCTGGTGACTTAACGTAAAAAAAAAATACAATTAGAAAACCCATGATAATTGCACCAAGGAACCTATTGAGAGCGAGCGCCATGTAAGGAAGACAAGAGAGTATCCGTTGTGTCCCATCGTGTGTCCCCCCCCCTCTGGCCCTATTCATGCAGGTTGCTGGCTCTCTTTTAAAAATGTTGCCTCCCCATCGCCTGTGGGAGAGGAAGTTCCGTTTTCTCCTCACCTGGCTTGTCCTTGT